CAGGTGGCAGCGGCAAACCGCTTCCCGTGATGGCAACGCCGGAGGATAAATACCCTGGGAGGCCATAGGTCCCCTGCAGTCCGTTTTCCAGCCAGCTGCGTTGGATCTACTTCCATGCAATGTTGTTTCTTTTTGCCTGGGTTAACCTGCGTTAACCTGCCCAGGTGCCAGGGAGCAGCAGGAGCTGGTTGCCAAGGAGGAGCCGCTCTCGAGGCTGAGCTGAGCTGTGCCGCAAGCCCTGGGGAGGCTGTGGTCCCTCCCCGCGGTGCGGGGCTCCCTCCTCTGCCTCCACGGAGGTGGGCCCTGGTCTCCAGGCCCGGCCTGGGTGTGTGTGCTTCACCCATACCGCGGAGCTGTCAGGGTGGAGGTGAGAGGGTTGCTCGGGCAGGACCCTTCTCCTGAGTAAACAGGAGCAGGCATCGGGAGGTCCGAAGCCACTGAGCATGGCTAGTACTGGCACGAAGGGGTCGTGGCTCTCGCAGCCCACAGTGAAGAGCGTGCTGGTGTATCGCAACGGGGACCCTTTCTTCCCGGGGCGCCGCATTGTCATCAGTGAGAAGAAAGTGTCCAACTTTGAGGTATTCCTGAAAGAGGTGACAGCCGGGGTGAAGGCACCCTTCGGAGCTGTGCGTAACATCTATACCCCGCGGGGTGGGCATCGTGTCCGGCAGCTGGAGGAGCTTCAAAGTGGAGAGCAGTATGTGGCTGGTGGCAGGGAAGCCTTCAAGAAACTCAAGTGAGTGGCTAAAAAGTAATGTAAGATTTGTATGGAACTTAAATATCAGGATTTGGGGTTTGGCACTGTGACAATACTTTAGAGGACCCTACCCCTTTAGTAGGCATTACAGAAAGAGGACTTAAATGGCTGCAACCCAAGGCAAAAGGAAAAGTGCTTGTAATAGATAAAACTGCAAAAGGGCTGCAAGGTGGGCCACAGGAAGGCTGCTGTAACCATCAGTCACATAGTGGTATTTCCTTGACATGACAGTAGAAAAGGAGAAACAGCCCTTTAACCCAAAGGACATGTGGCAATGTGATATGTGTGCTTAACTGAGGGGTGAGTGTCACTATTTGTGCACAGTGGTAACAGGGAGAAAGCTGCAGAAGGATGGGAGTGTTGACAGTCCTGCTGTGAAGCTGATGAGCCTGGGAATTTAATTCCCAACACTTCCTTTCTTGCTTATTTTATAAAGTCTAAAATATTCTACCTAGTTATCCACTTCTCAATCACTTCTCTTAATTTTGGATAGGTATATAGACTTTTAATGACCAGAATATCTGAGTCCCTCCTGTTATTTAAAAGATGACTGATTGCTGTCTCTTCCCTGCCTTGATATGAATAATTAAGCTGACAGTTTCTCTGTTTTCTAGTGAGTGACTGGGAGAATATCACGGAGGAGATCTGGGCTTTTAGGTGTGTTTCCTGAGTGGTTCTGCATGTGATCAGTAATGGCTCTTAATTCTGGCAGTGGATTTCTTTCTGGGCATTTTTCTTACAGTTGAATTAAAAAAAAAATCTCAAAATTAACAATCCCTTTCTGAAGGTGGTTATGAATTAATACGCTAAACTAGCAGCTTTATGGGACCTTGCTCATCTTGGTTTTGTAGAGTTGAGGACACTACATTTTTCAGGAGAGCTCATCATGTTTCAGGAGAAAACTGCAATGAACAGGACTTGTATCAGCACTCTGACTGTTTTTGTCACTGGCTGCTTTTGAACATTTATTGAAGCTTCTTGCACTTCAGTGGCAAAGATAGAGAGGAAGATGTGACAGGCTAAATATAAGTCCCTTTCCCTCTGTACTTTCTTCCATATCAAATACAATGCTCATCTCTGAAAAAAGATCTACCATATCTTTTTGGTATTAAATCCTGTGATTCTGTGTATAGCTTAAAGTTGTAAGCTCTCAGCACACCATGTTTCACCTCCCTGCATGTATCTTATGTGCAACAGACAGGCTAAAGTAAGTAAGTGTTTGGCATTAGCATGCACTGTGTAGAGAATTGGGCACTCCGGATTTTTTTTGGGTGGAAAACATTTATTTTTGCCTTTTCGTGTTTTATGGTCAGAGTTTTATGGTGAGAGCTTTTCAGACTTTTATGGCTCCAACATCAAACAGTATAGCTAAGTAAGCTCAACAAAGAGAACACCTTAAAAAAAGCTAGCCTAAAGGACACAATTGTTAAGAGAAGGCTGGTTTGTATATCCCTTGATAGTATGCCATAGTCTTGTGCTGTAGGGAGGATAAACAGGATTACTTGAGATCTTTCCCATCCTTGTGTTCAGAGTTGGAGTTCTTCACTATTAGTATTTATATAGTCGTATAGTCCTGTAAATGTTGGCAATGCTTTTACCAGCATTATTTATGACGGGATGAAGGGCTTGATGTTGATCTTGTTCTTAACTGGGTTGTAGACAGAATGATAATTAGGGACACAGCTTAGCTGGAAAAGTCAGAGGAAAGGATGGGTTAATTGAAAGGGACAGTTTTCTGAAAGGAATTGAAGGAATTAAAGAGCATATGTCTCTGTATATGTCACAGGCAAAGATAAAAGCTGTTGCAGCTGCAGGAGACCAAAGTATCTGCCTTAAAGGGTTTGCATCAGGTCTGATAGCAACAAGAAGTCTGTACACTTCCAGTGTTGCTTGTTGAACACATCATTGCTGAGATAGACTGAACTTTGGAATGCGGGCTTGTGGCACTGATGTGAGGGAATGTAATGGAAAGGAGAGAGTACCCAAGGTGAAGCAGAAGCTGAAAGTGTCATTGCTCCACTTCAAGCAGTGCATTTGTTTCTTCTCAGGCGTCTTATACTAAGAACTGAATCTTTTTTTTCTTTCCTGTCTGCAGTGATTTCTAGACTAAACTGTCCTCATCTTTAACACTGTCATTCCAAGTGCTAAATCTTAACATCTCTAGATGTAATACGTATATTTAGATGTAATATACGTTTGAAGGTATGTAGTCAATATAAACTGCTGATATGTTTAATGTGTAAATAAAGTAATTGGAATTTAAACATTCTGCTGTTAGAAAAATTTATAGAAATTTCCTTTAAAGTAAGAATTACTAGCCACTGCTGGGAATTTTCATATCTTTCAGCCTGATTTGTCATTTACAGGTGTGCTAAATGAATACATGGGGTTTTGGTGTATAAGTGGTGAGGTGTGTTGGTATATTGTAGGTGTTGCAGTGGTGAGGGAGAATGCACATTCAGGGCTGCACGCCTGTGGACTTTTTCCCTCACTCTCAGCTTCCTGAAGGAAAACTATGTGTGCTGGTGGTGGTTTCCCTTTTTAGCTTTTTTTCTCAGCATGCTACTCTGCCCACCTCCTTCCTTTGCTCTTTTACTTGTGTCTGTGCTCATTGATTAATGGTAGATTATCCTCTCTACTCTCTGGCAGTGTCTTTTGAAACAACACTGTAGTTTCATCACTGATGTGGATAGTTATTGAGTGGAGGTATTTCTGCTTTCCTAGCAAATGGAAATACTTTGGTTAAGTTTTGATGCGGAATTTTTTTGAGTGCCATTATCCCAAGAAAAGTCTTTGGCGCTGTCTAGACTTTTTCTGATTTGTGAATCTCTGAAATGTGACAGCTGAATGCTGAGACCTCTGCATAGTAAATTTAAGCCTTTGACTATGTATTTGCTTTTCTTTGTCACTTTTCTTAGTTCTCCTTGAAATAATTGACTGGTGCCCAGAGAACAAGAACCACAGTCAGCAGCTTCTTTCTTTTTAGTCTTGTAGGCTTTAAGACTTTTTGTTGTTGTTGTTCCTTTGGAGAAACTTGCAACAGTTGTTTTTTGTTTATTTTTTTAAGCATGAGGTTTGCACACTTTGTTTTTAAGTATTGTCCTATGTTGCTACATTTAACTTTTCCAGAATATTGGCATGCACTTTCAAGCATTGCCTAGAAACCTTGCTGTGTCTTACTGTCCCTGCATGCTGAAGCCTTGACGTTCCTTTGTCCATTTTGTGGTACCTTGGTAAACGATTGCCATTCCTTCAAAGAATTTCTTCTTTCTTGCTTCTACACCTTTGTTCAGGTCCCATGAATTCTCAGCTTTGGCCAGGCAGGAAAGTTTCCTGTAGCAAACAAATCTTATCCCAGCCATTAACTACAGAGCATGGCATTACTGGAGGGCTACAGATGCTTTGCGAAAGATTTTTTGGTGAGCCTGCACTGGTGCTTGGACCTGACATTCTCAGACAGGATCTTCTAGTCTTAAAAGCCTGGCAAAGCACATGGGGTTTCTCACTGAAAGTAGGAATAGGGAGAACCTCTAACAAATGCCCATCACCTATCCTGAGCGGTATCAATAGAAGCATGACCAGGAGGTCGAAGGAGGTGATCCTGCCCCTCTACTCTGCTCTTGTGAGACCTCACTTGGAGTACTGTGTGCAGTTCTGGTGTCCTCAATGTAAGAAGGACATGGAGCTGTTGGAGCAAGTCCAGAGGAGGGCCATGAGGATGATAAGGGGTCTGGAGCACCTCCCGTATGAAGACAGGCTGCGAAAGTTGGGGCTGTTCAAGCTGGAGAAGAGAAGACTGAGTGGAAACCTCATAGCAGCCTTCCAGTATCTGAAGGGGACCTATAAGGATGTTGGGGAGGGACTCTTCATTAGGAACTGTAGTGGTAGTACAAGGGGTAATGGCTTCAAATTTAAATGGGAAGTTTAGATTAGATACAAGGAAGAAGTTCTTTATAGTGAGGGTGGTGAGGCACTGGAATGGGTTGCCCAAGGAAGTTGTGAATGCTCCAACCCTGGCAGTGTTCAAGGCCAGGTTGGACAGAGCCTTGGGCGACATGGTTCAGTGTGTGGTGTCCCTGCTCATGGCAGGGGGGTTGGAACTAGGTGATCTTAAGGTCCTTTCCATCCCAAACCATTCTATGATTCTATGCTCCCAGCATAGAACAGATGTCCCAGTATTTTTTTTTCCCCCCCTCATAGTCAGCTCTTGGCAGAAGGTGCTGAAAGGTGCTGCTGTACTAAGTTATAACTGCCTATGAAGGTATCTCTTCCTACAGCACTAAGAACTAAAAATATCTTGCAGTGCTGGAAGGTAGTGAGAGCTGCATTCATGAGAAGAACCACTTTCATGGCTCTCCGAGTGTTGACAAGGAAAAGGAGTTAGCATAGTCTGGTTACCTGGACAGTTGCCTGTTTGCCAGTCTGTGGGTTACTCATGCTTAAAGGCTTATTTAATTCCCTTTCTTCGGAAAGACAACATACAGCTAATCCATGACTGTGTGGTTTAACTAACAGGTCTGTGTTAATGCAGTGTTTTTGTGGAAATACGTATTCTGATGGAGAGCAGGATTCTTCAAATAGATATATTTTATTTTCTTGTCCAGTTGAGGCTTGTATTTTGTTTATTCACAAGATAATTGTGCAGATGATATTGGTTCATCACCATCACAAGAAACCAGGATATACAGTGTTCAGATGTATCCATGTCCTGTTGAAACACACTGTAGATCCTTTTAAACTCTATCAGATGCCATGGCTTAAACTTGGGTATGGAAGAAAGCTTGAAATCTGTCAGAGACTTATGATGAGAAACTGAGAGGCAAGATGATGAGTTTGAAAACTCTGGTAAGTTGATATTATACTGAGATTTGTTGATTCACGTCACAATAGTATGTGAGCTTCTTTACAACAAGGGATTATTGGGGATCTGTACTAACCACCGGTGACTAGAAAGTAGATGGCTGGTTCTCCCCTATGTTTTATATTGGCCCAGAGAGCTAGCCTGTAGGTTTATATTAACACTCCTTCATTAAAATCTCAAATTAGTTACTTTTTATGTTATTTTGAGGCATGATAAATTTTGAAAACTTCATGCATTAAAAGAAAAAAACCAGAAGTATTTGCATTGTGTAAGTTAGTTGTTTCTGTAAGTAATCAAAACTGTTTTCCTTCCACAGCTATTTGAACATTGGAGCAACAAAGAAAAAACCTCCTGAAGTCAATAATGAGGTAGGATGTCTGAAATAATTAAGTAAACCTGAAGTTAATGTTAGTGACATGCCTGCATGTCTGTTTTTTATATATAAATTTATTATTTTTAATAATAATACAATTATCTACCATTCTGGACATATTATTTCAGTGATTATTACTATGATCGCTGTGAGCATGATACACTGATTTGCTCAGCTTTCTGAATTGCCACATCCAGTTAAAAACTTTGAGTAAAGAAAATCTCATGTTGTCTTCATTGGATCTGGTCATAAACCTAAGAGAGCTTTCCACATCCCCTCCCCCCCCCCACTCCCCAC